AAAAAAAAAAATCGCTATACTCTCTTTCTGAGAATCTGAATAACTACACTTGTCAATCATTATTTCCAGACCATTTACCTAAATTCAAAATGAACAGGAAGTTAACTGAGCCCTAGAAGAAATAGCTTCTTAGCCATCTTTGAGTAATTATCTAAGATTTCAAAAATTATATATTTTTAGGAAAGTTTGCGTTTGTTTTCCTCTAACTTATACTTGAAAAACTATTTTTTTACCCCAAAGAATTAAAAAAATCAGAAACAATTACTTTAAAGAAGTAAATCTGCTCTACTAACAATCAAGAAACAATTAATGAGCATTGTTTATTAACAAGGCACAATGCTATCATTCTACATACTCAGGATTCAAAAAGGATTAAAACACAGTCTCTGCTCACCAAGTCTTAGATGAAAATAGACATGCAGGGATGGGAATCATACTGATAAAGTATTTTAAAAATATAAATTACTACACTCATGTTCATAGCACCATTATTTACAATAGCCAAAGGAAGCAACCTAGGTGTCCATCAACAAAATGAATGGATAAACAAAATGTGGTCTATACATACAGTGTAATGTTATTCAGCCTTAAAAAGGAAGGAAATTCTGATACATGCTATAAAATGGATGAACCTTGAGGGCATTATGCTAAGTGAAATAAGTCAGTCACAAAAACACAAATACTATAAGTATATATATGCGATATCTAGAGTAGTCATATTCATAGAGATAGAAAGTATTGGGTTGTCAGAAAAGTCATGACATATTTTTTCTATGTTTTTTGTTACAAAAATGTGTCATGACTTTTCCGACACCAATAGAATGATAGTTGCCAGGGGCTAGGGTAGGGGAAAATGGGTAATCACTGTTTCATGGCTATAGAGTTTCAGTTATACAAGATAAAAGTTCTAGAGATCGGTTGCACAGCAATATGAATATAGTTACCAATAGTGAACTGTACACTTAAAATTGATAACATGGTAAATTTTATGTTAATGTATTTTACCTCAATTAAAAAATATTAATATATAAATTGGCATAAACTAAGTGCCAAGCAAGTGATGCAGAAAAAAAAAATGACACAGTAGTTATGAAGGAGGGGTTATAAAATATGGAATAAATTCAGTGAAAGTGCTAGACCTTTTCTTGAAAGAAAAAAAAAAGACTCAAGTAAGCAGATGGAAGATGAGGGAAGGTATTACGATCAGGAGCAATGGCAAAGAGACGGGAAGACACTAATCTAGGAACACAGTGTAGACCACAGTCTGAATGACTGGCACACAGGTTTCCAACAGAATAAGCCATAGAGGACAAGCTAGAGGGTAAGGCTATGAAATAGGGAGAAAATGTTTGAATAAAGGCAATTCTTCTTGTTAAATAGCTGTCACTGAAATAAAGTAATAATCACCAAACTTTTACTGAGAATAAAGACCAGAGGAAAAAAGGAGATTGATAATTTCATAGATTCATCTCTGACTCTCTGATAACGGAAGTGGAGAGATACATTTTATAAGTTAAATGCCACACCTGAATGAGATATGTGCCTACAGATAATAGTTTGTGCAAAGAACCAACATGTACACACATTACTTACTGACTGGCAATTTACCAATTTCATCATCAGTACTGCATGTAAACCAGCATTTTGAAAGGCCCCACTATGTAAATGATGCTAATATTACAGTGAGATGCAGGACCTGAGGTAACTCAGTTCATTAACACCAGTGTTGCAGGCTGTACACAGACACTTGAAGATTCATTATTTCAGCTGCTATTATGAAATCATGCTCCAACTAACCACCAGCCCTGAAGCAGGACAGTCACTAGACATACTTAAGCTCACTACTTCTCACTTAACAAAACCCTTCATCCTCACCCCAAGAGTGGAAGTTTCTATTCTCCCCCAAGTACTTTAAAAACTTAAACCAAATGATTCCTAGTAATCTTCTTGGATTTTTAAGCTGTGGTAAAAGTTGGTTAATACTCATCTCTTTTAAAAATAGTTTTCATATAGATTACAGACTGCTAGGGTACAGGTGGAGAAACAGACAAAAGGCGAATATTGGTCTTTCCTGAAACTGAAAAGAATCTGCTTTGGATCCCTTCAAGGTTCCTATCTTCTCAGGTAGTTAGCAAGAAATGATGAAATTGACATACTAATTAGGTTGTTCACATCACCTCCTCTAAACAACCTCCAGATACCTGAATCAGTGAGTGACTTCTCCAGCAGCCACAGAAAGACAAATAAATATCTTTAACAAAGGAGAAAGATTGCTTTGGGTGAACAAACACCTACTCTACCTTTAACCAGCTCTTGGCCAGCTTTAGGGTTCCTCCACTTCTTTAGGTCACTAAGGAAATTCAGAAACAGGACTTTCTTCAGATCTAATTTTTTTTTAAGGAACTAAAGGGGGGAGGGAGAGGGAGAGAGAGGGGGGGGAGAGAGGGGGAGAGAGAGAGAGAGAGAGAGAGAGAGAGAGAGAGAGAG